AGAGAGAAGTGGCACAGTGCTAGCTCAGGTAGCTGCTGAGAGTTTTAACGATAATGGATTTGATTACGTAACTTTCAAGGTCACCACATCTAGGCACATATGCATGTAAAAATCACTTATATTTCTTGGATGCTAACAGTCTTGTAGTGTAACTCTGATATTAATTTGCCAAGTTCTGAACTAAGACCTTTTAACATTTTATTCTTTCTAGATATTAAGACTGCATGGTTCTGGTTTCTATATCATACTGTGCAGATCTGTAATTTAATTTTTAAATATCAGAAAATATGCCATTAGCCACAGGACTTTCTAATGTAACAAATTTGGGTAAAAACCAATCACATGAACAAATTACAGCAATAGATATCAAAAGTGTCTCCAGTTTTCCTTTTTCATTTTCTTTTCTCTTTAGGACTTACCAGGGCAAGCTGCAACTCTGTGGTCCTGTATTATCAGGACAGGACACCTACAACCCACCATACATTGCCATCCTACCAACGACTCTGCCGGCTTGAGGCACAAAGTCAAGTGCACTATAAAGATAACTGAGTGCCTTATTGGAGGAGGGTCATCTGCAATTTACCAGAACAACCTAACATCTGGGTTTAAGCTCCGACTGGCCATCCAAAGAAGCAGCCCTAGTTATAGGAAGAATCATTTGGGAGCTGAAGTGTGGAAGTGCTTGGGCCCTGCTCAAGGTTGCTTTGGTCATTCCTTAAGCAAACAAACACACACACAGATAAGAGAAGCTCAACACCAGTTGAAGACTAACAGTCCATTCTTTTGTTTTGGTTGCAATGGGAATCTTTCCCTTTTCCAGGTGTAGGGAAAAAGTAAGCTCCTTGTCACACAAACAGTTGCAAATCGAAAACTACCTGGCAAGGCAATCTCTTTTTTTGCAAATGACCTACCAAGTAGCAGCACACCTGGCCAAGGCGGCCTCAAGGAGGCTTTTCTGTTTGACAATAGGTGGTGACTGCATCTCATCTCATTGGTGGGTGCCTGATTTACTGTCTGACACAATTGTCTAACTGGTATGCAGCACAAGGGGATGGTCAGGAAATATAGGTCCTTGTGAGGTGAACCACCTTTGGTAGAAAAACCAAAACGTTTCTGACAGTTGTGGACCTGAAAGCGGGTCAGCCGTTGCCAGAGGTTTCTTCTTGACAGTATTCTAAGCAATATTCTATATGCAGTGTGCCATTTGTAATGGGATCTTAAGACAGTAAATATTTTCTGGGTGAAAGCTAACAACTCCACAAGGCTAGCAGCAACTTTATATATCTATCTGAGCATTTTGGGCAAGATTTTTGGAAGAGAGGATTGCTGGCTGTCCTAGTCTCATTTCTTCCAGTTCTTCACAGTCCATGTATGCAATGTGCACCAAATCGCTGCAGGTGATTAGAACCAGAATGGAGGACATGCAAGCCACATCTCAGCCACCATTGTGGGTCATTTGAAACACAAAGGGAAGTTTTAGAGTTTGAAATGGCAAATTATTTCTCTTTGGAATTAATCTAGTTAAGCCAGTTAATGTAGTTAAGCCAATGTCACCTTTCATATTTCATTCTTCTTTTATTGGCTTGTTATCTATTCTACAGAAATGTGTATTTTTGAAACCATGTCTGCCCCCTATTATTTTTGTCATGCTCATGCCTTCTCCATTTAAGTGGTTTTTTTTTTTTTTTTTCTATTCTTCTTTCTCCTTTTATAGTTCACTTTCCCTAACACCAGAAGTCCGTCCTCTTCATTTTCCTGCAATCTTTGATTAATGTTTGGTTGCCAAGCCGGTTTGATTCTCTACCTCTTTCCCACTCAGTGCCCTTCCCTAACCTTCTGCTGCTTTATTTCTGTCACCGGCTATGAGAACCCACAAATTCCATTTCTTTCCTTTCCATCTATCTGCTCATCTCCATATGTATTTTTACGATCCTACTGCTAAATGCTTGGAGTTGTTTGCAATAGAAAGGTGTGCTTCCTCATTTGAATGTCATTTCCTCCCCCCCCCCCCCCCCAGCATAACCGTTCGTTCCTCCTCTATTCATTCTTTTCTGAGGTTTCCCTGTCTTACCCCAATGGCACCTCTCTCTTCCCCTGTCACCTCCCATTTAAAGCTCATCTCTTCTCCCAACCCGACTTCCACCCTGTCTGATTTTACAGCCAAGGATCTCCGACAAAATAAAGGATGGAGTCTATCAGAAACCAGGTTGCGTGTGTCTTGAGAAACTTTTGCGCATTCACTGAAATGAGATTAGGGACTTGGATCCAAAAATATTCTCGGGGACTTTTCAGCTCGGGGACGGCTTTGCACCCCTTGAGCTCTGCGGCCTATTCTGCTGGGCAAGCCACAGGGCTGTCAGGGCCTTCTCTGATCCTCTCCAGTCCAGGGGTCAACCTGAAATGACACTGCCCACCCGAACTATTAAACCAGGCTGAGGGGAGGACGCCTGGGCCCCGTGCCTGCGATCTGTGCCCGGTACAAGGAGCAGGGCCATGGGTCACGGCGACCCAGGGGTCGGTCGCTCGGCTTCTTTGGGGGCGTGCTCCCCTCTTAGGAAGGAGGCCGACACCACCGTGGGGGCCCCTGGGGGTGCAGGGCTCGAGCCTGGAGCCGGCGACACCAGGTCGGCGGGCAGCCCGAGAGCGAGCGGGGTGCCTCGGGCGTGGGCAGGAGCCGCTCGTCCGGCCCCCGGGCCAGGAGGTCGAGGGTTCAGGGCGGGCGTGCTCGGCCGGCCGGCCCTCGGGGAGCAGGGCCGGGCGCCCCCCGTGCGCGGGCGCGGGATCGATCGAGGGTCCCGGCGCGGCGGGACGGGGGAGGGGCCCCCGGGGCCGCGGCCGCGGGTCTCTCCTGGGCCCGCCGGGGCGCCCCGCAGTCTGGGGCCGCCGCGGCTCCCGTTCCGCAGCGGCCGCCAGGCACTCCAGGCCGCACTTTCCCCTCCTCCCCGCGCCTTCTCTCCAGTGAGGAGCCGGGCGCGGGCGGCGCGGGGGGCGCGGCGGCGGCGGAGGGAACAGCCAGTTGTTTAAAATCCTTCTAGAGCGGTTTCTAATTCCCCGCTAGCGCCGGGCGCGGAGGGGGAGGGGG